GATACGAAAACATTTTCAAATTTACTTATTCAGTTAATTTAGAATCAATTTCAATATAAATGATATATCTTATATGCCAACAAGCCATAGAAAAACAACCCTAAGTGTATTATAATTATCAATCATATTCTTCAGTTTCCTCAGGCTTACATGTCTTTGCCCAAAATAGTAGATAGTATTTCCCAAGGATTGTTATATTATCCTCAAAAGTTTGGCTCATATACAAGGCAAGACTGGAGAGGAAGGGGAGCACTATCCAAGTCATTCACCTTCTAAACAAAACTAAAAAGGAAGTATGAATGTTGGTGGAAGGTTTAAAATGCATTTTAGAAATCTGCCACCGAAATATGCATGTATAAGATAACCCAACCTAAAAATGTTTGTTGATTTCTATTAATTTTATAGGCAGATGTACTTACTATTCTTCCACTGGAGTCTCTTACCTGCAGTAGAATTCCAGTAAAGCACATGATTTCAATCAGAAGAATAAGAGGAGCTGAAAGGTAATTGATAAAGCTAGAAAGAACCCCAAGGAACAGAGAAAAAGGACAGTTATCGCCAGATAATAGCAGAAGGAGAGAGATTGGTCCTCCCTTAATTTTGGTGTACACATCACAACATATCAATCAGTTCCCAGGCACAAACACAGCCAAAAAGGGCTTTTCTGGTTACAATTTCCCTAGTTCTGGAGGAATATTCCAAGAGTGAGAAAAAAGTAGCTACCCATCCAATGGCCACTTGAACCAACTCAGGCAATTCTGAGAGTGACCTACAAGGTCATAAAATATCAGACTGTGATCTCAGGGTTTCTGCAATTGTGTGATATCACAGATACACACACACACACACACACTCACTCACACATTTCCTAGACTGTATCTTTCCACAATGAAATTCTAAGGAAGAAATACACCCCTCATTGCTTCTCCTCCAATGTGGTTTTCTTCAAGGCAGGCAAACTTTCAAGAGTAGTTCAGAATTTCTTATGTTTATAAAGACTAGAATTTGCAGAGATGTCTGATGACTTCAATAACAAATAGATATATTAACTATTTGTTGTTTCTGAAAAATTGTCATTTACGAATTTTCTGTTTCTGAGGGGAGGAAAAGTTAATTTTATGCCTCAGAAAGCTTAAACAAGTATTGATAGCAAGTTTTCATAAGGGTTGGCAAAAAAGACCATATTCTGATAGTTTTCCTGACAGTATGGATTACTGTCAATGCTGCACTTAAAGGATTTTCAATGTTTTACACTTCATTTTTGTGAATGCAGCTAAGACAATTGATGATTTTCTCTTCTACCTGTCCAAATATCTACTAATATAACAAAATTAGTATCTTAAAAGATAGCATCTTTATGTATATAACTGAGGACTTACTTTATTCCATTATTTAAAGGTATCACATAATTTAATAAATACTAGTATGTACTATTTATTATGACTAGGACGTGTTATTATATTGAGGAGAAAAATTTATTCTGAATAATTAAAAGTATTAATCTTCAAAAAAAAGGCTTTTCAAGTGAAATTAGAAAAAAAATCACAAAGGAAAGTCAGTATTTTTGAAAAAGTATTTTAAATAAAATGTTCAAATAAAATACCAGTTATTAACTAAGCTTAATATTCATATAATTAGTTTTATTTGTTTGCTTAACCTGTAAGAATAAAACGTTGTTATATATATATATAAAATTGAGCATTTAGTACTCTACAGAATACATCAGAATATCAAACTTACAGAAAGTCTGGTCCATGAACCATGTAACTACAACAGACTACAATTTAATCCAAATATCACCACATTATATTTGAAGTAATTACTAAACTAAATAACATTTTAAGAAAACATTTTTCAAACATAGTATAATCTTACTCTTTAAAAAGTGCACTTAAACATAGCATAACCTATGTTTGCTGTTATTTTAGTTATAATCTTATTTTTAAACATAAGCTTATATTAATAAGATCTGGTATTTAAAGGTTGTAAAATCTTATTGTTATAAACCTGTGGTAGTAAGAGTTGTTAAACATAATTTTAGTTTTAAAAAACATATCTATGATAAGAGCAAATCACTCAATAAATATTGAACTCAGCATCTGAATTCATAAATTGTTCTCTTCAGCACATTCAAATTAGTCAGTTACTATATTTAGCAAGAGATAATATGACTATAAACTAAATCCAAACACAGAAAGTCTAATGTAAAAACAACAGAATTTTTGTTTTTGTCTCTTAACTGGTTCCCTGACTGCATCTATAATCTCCTAATATATGGACATTTCAGAAAAAGAAGCTCCCACACAACAAATAATTTTTATTTTTCTTCTGAACCTTTTTTCTCCCAAATCCATTCATACAGGACTGTTTTCATTTGCTTGCTGGTAAATCCAACAAAAAGTCCAGTCAATTTATACATTACCATCTCCTTCTGAGCTTCAAATACAGTTGGAAAAACAGAAAAGTTCAAAGCATTTGGAAAAGCAGTGAGATTCAAAAGGATGCCAGTTGAGATGTTTTGTTGCAAAAAAATCTACTTCCTAAAAGTCAACAGATTAAACTCACTCACAGATGGAGGCAAGGATCTTCAGAAAATGAAAAATCTTTTTCATGCTTCAATCAGCAGATTTAAAATGCTCCTCATCCACAGTGGGGTAGATGTAGCCCTCATTGGTGAGATAATCAAGGGCTTGCTTGATGGCCCTGTCACTCATGCTGTGAAGCTGAGTCTGGAGCTCATGCACACTGTTGCCTTCCTATTGAGGACATTCAAGATTCAAAATGCAGGACTTCCTTGTGGATGAAGTGGAAATTGTGGTACTCGCCATAATTCTGGACCTCATCTATGTTTGATGGGACAACAGGCCAACTGGGCCCAGAGGCCACTTGGTGGGCTTTATCCAGTATCATATGTGCATTGACCATTTCCAGAATATGCGTGGTGGACTCATTCATGTCCTCCAAAACACGGATGTTAAATACCTCAAGACCCTTTACTTCTTTAAAACATTTGAGAACACCAATCGCTTTGATATATACTCCTACTGGAAGAAGCAACATCCCCTATTTTGCTTTATTTCTTCCCAGCCACTGGTGGACCTCAACAAGCTTGGTGATCACATCATCAATTCTATTTTAAAAATGTAGTTTGAAGCCCTATCTGCGTTCCTGATTATCCCCAGAATAGAGGCCTGGGAAACTTCAATTTTCCTAATCCTGAAGACATTGTCAACCAGGGTGGAGGTGAGCATTTGGTTTACACAACAAGGTAATATCCTAGATTCACATCCTGGATCGTGAGGCCTCAGTAGCAGTAGCTGCACGACCCTTAAATGACCATTCATTGCTTCCAAAAACTCCACCCACAGCAGAGGTGCTGGCATAGGTCACAACCCCACTCTTATTAATCTTAAGGAGAGCTCAGACAGATTAGGAGATAGGTTTTTGCTCTAGTCAGTGAGTTCCTCAAGTGTGCTTTAACCTCTACAGAAGGCTATAATCAAAAGCTTTGACGTGTTTTGATACAAAGAGCCTCATGTGACCTGTGGAGCCAATCACCTACCAGAACACTGCTGCTTCCAGCCAATCAGGACCTACCAGCTTCTCACCTGGTCCCATAATTCTTTGGAGTTGTCTGGTAGTTGCTGTACTATATTTTCAAGGCCCTGCATGTAGTTTCAAGCCTTTCTTGCTATCTTTATGCATTTTTAGTAGGTACCCCTCTCCTTCATTCCTAAGTGCAACTTCTTCTATACTTCCTTCTTAAATATTCATTTATTCACCCATTTAATCAACCAGAAAATTTCAATAGAAAATTTCAGAGCACACAGTGCACTATGGTAAAGAGCTGTAGGTTTACATGGCAGGGGTTCCAAAAATGGTTATGGTTCTCAAAGAATTCATATTCTTGTTCAAATCATTAAGACTAAAAGCATTCTAGAAGAAATGACAAGACAGTCATCTTGGAATGATCATCATACTCAAAATGAGTCACACCTTACCACTGCCTTTTTAATTTTTTTATTACAGAATTATAATTTTCCAGTTATTCTGACAAATGTCTATAGGTAAAAATAAATAATATCATATATTTTGAACTTCTACATCAATACAAATAAACTCTATATTATTGTCAAGGTTCTATTAATAGGTCAGAGAGAAATACAAAATGTGGGCTCCATTATATATTAAGAAAAACGTGAATAAAATCAAAATACCATTTCTGTATATTTTTATGCAGTATTTTCTGAACTTTGGGTTGTAGCAATTTATAAGAATATATCCCAGAATGATTTCATATTACATTGAAAATGTATTTTTCCTCATAAAACATTTTATTTTGGTTAAAATTAACTTAAAGTTTTTGTTATGATGAATGAAGGACATCACTTAGTGGAATCCACCACTGGTAAAGAACACCTTAAAAAACCCTTTGTGGTTAAAAAACAGCCTAAATGTATACAGCTTTGAGTTCATTAGTACCTTCCCTCATTTATTTTACTGGTTAAAATAATTTTGCTATCTCAAAATACAAAAACATATGAATAGTATATCTAAAACTTGTAGAAAAAAAACTGTATTTCTCAGGTTAAAAATAAATAATATCAAATAAATAAATAAATAAATAAATAAATAAATAATATCAGAGCAATAATACTTAATTTGTTTTACAAATAAATACACACTGATTGTTATCTGAGCATACAGATATTCAAGTAAATGTAGATATTTAACTTCTGGGTCCATGTTTTATATAATGAAAGAGGAATTAAACATGCAAGTAATATTTGTATTCTGAAAATTACACATTATTAAGATATTAGATTAACTATTTTTTTAAATGTTTGCAAACTTATAATCAGACATTGCTGTTTTATTAGCTAATATCAGAATGCTAGTCAGAAAATCGTGAGGTTAAAATGATGTAAATGATTGTATTTCTAAAAACTACATACACTATAAACTAAATGAATTATATAAAAGTAATAAGAATGACCTACCTGACAGGATTGCTGGTTAAAGAAACACGCAGAGATTCAAGGCAATTAAGAAGTTTCTCATCTGAAATACCAGATCGTAATTCGTGAACATATTCTTGTGAAGACAAGGTGCATTCATGTTTGCTGTTTTTCAGCCCTCCCTATAAAAAAAAATATCATTTTATATAAACAACAGGCTTTAAAATAACTTTGAACATAAAACAATGCATGAATAAGTACATATTTTACTGTAGAAAAAGATGAGCAGAGTGCTATGCACTTAAAAATTCCTGGTCACAGAATTGATGTGGTAAAATCATGATATATATATCCCAACACTCTCCTCATCCTCATTTAAAAGTTAATTGTACTTCTAGTGCTCATATTCTAAACAGACTATGTACTTGAGATTAAGTGTCACTGACAGGGATGCCTAAATTTATAATCCAGGCACTGGCATTAACATTACCCGGTACTACTAAACCCACAGGATGAACATTTACAAATCATGTTAATTTACCTAGTTAAGATCCTTATATTCTATTTGAAAAAATACAGTGACCACAACTTAATATAAAACCTTATCATGTTCCAAAACTATTGAAATATATCAGAGAATTAGCTTACCTCTAAAAACAAGTGAAAAGTTATTAAAATGAAAAACAATACAGTCTCGACTTAGCATGTTAATCTATTCACTAATTCCCAACTATTCCTTCCTATTACTCCCATGTTGTAGATTAATCTTAAAAAGTCATTAAATGCATTTATCTGATAATGTCTAGTATTTAGCTCAATTTATAAAATACATAGAGTTATTTCTAGAATGTATTAACTCATTACAGCTCCTTAGCTTCATCACATTGCCATAACTACACAAGTAGTTTGGGGAAAAGACTGACAGGAAAACATCATCAACACATTCATTATACTAATAATTCAGTTTCACATTCTAGATATGTATAATCATAACTGCCCCACTCCTATATTACAAATATATTCCTCTGAATTAAAATTCTACTTTGAGTCATATTTTCCAAGTTCATACTAATCACACTTAGTTTCTGTAAGTACCCAAGCTAGAATAAGGAAAGCATTTTTTTTTCAATTTGGTAGAAAGCATATCATTAGAGGATACAGAATTACAAAATAAATGTATTGATAATGAGAAATGGATTCCATAAGGTTTCATCGTGTTTGACTTTTATTGAGAAGACCTCCTCAATATGGAAATTGTCAATCATTATCAATGTCTAAATGTTTTTAAAATTCCATTGAATAGTAAGTAAATGTTTGAAGTCTGATAATGTCTTCTGTAGGGGAATTGTGTTCCCTTATATTGCTGTAACACTATCACTATTACAACACTTAAGACATTGGGGTAGGGGTCATTATTTGCGTCTATCACTCTTCCAGACTTGTAACTCCATATATGCGAAGTATCTAACACAATGACTTGATTTAGTGAGCCTCAAAGGAAGTGTGCTATTATTGAATCTAACCATAACAATTACAGAACAAGGAATACAATTACATAGTTAGTTCCCATATTTTCTGTAATGTGCAAAACTTTATTTTTCTTGATTTGTTAGGATTTACAGATGTTCAAGACTTCTATTGAATGGATCATTACATGGCAAAGTAAAAACATCACCATGAAATCCTTTCCACATTTCTATAACTTATTTACTCAACTCTTAAGACTGTAGATCCACAAAGAATGATAGCAAGTAAACATTTAGAGTATAAAATGTTGCGAGTCTGCAGTCATAGGCCAATTTCATATGACCCTCAAACTCATTCTCTTAATGGATAACAAGGCCCTATTGACTCTTCCCTGGAGGCTTGTACATGAGTTTATTACTGTAGAATATAAACCTTTATAATTGCTGTTTTTTCTGCCTGAAGGATCCTTAATCCTGACATCTCCATTACTAACTCATCGTCTAAGTCCTCAACCCACCACATGCATCATCTCATCATTTTAAATTTCAATTATAATATTAGGTCTATGTAACCTTATATTGTTTAGTACTTTACTTGTTTACTGTGTCTTCCTCATTAAAACATAAGCTCTATGAGGCAGGAATCTCGTCAACCTTGTTCACCACTGTATCTCCAGATATTAACACAATGCTTGGCACACAGTAAGTACTCAAAGCATATTTCTTTTTTTTTTTTTAAAGTAGGCTCCATGCTGAGGGCTTGAACATGGAGCTTGAATTCACAATCCTGAGATCAAGACCTGAGCTGAGATCAAGAGTTGGATGTTTAACCAAGTGAGCCACTCGAGTGCCCCTCAAAACATTTCTTGAATGAATAGATAGATGAACTGATTGTGAATAAACAAATAGGTGAATGTCACATGAGTTTCAACATGCTGAAGCTTCAAAACTCAGGTTAGTTTTACCTCACAATATTATGGTTCTGAGATATTCCATTACCATATACTCAGAAATGCTAGTGTAGAACAGGTAAATTGAGACAATGTATGGCAGGCATCCTAGAAAGAGCTCAAAGTGTCACTGAGTTTTAATTGTGACCACTTCACTTATCTTCTAGGTAATTATTGAGCAGACTATTCAACTAGTCCCTATAAACCTGTTTGCATATTCATGATATAGGGGATCATATTTATTATAAACCTACCCTCATGTTTATTAAAAGGATTAAGACAATGCATATAAAGAGTTAAAACAGGTATTTCCTATGTGTTCTCTCATAAACACAGTAACTTACTAAGAAATGTTTGTTTCCTTCTTCTATCTAGTCATAGCTGAGATATTTATTTCTCATGGAACAACTGGGCCAGCCTAATACCTTGGGACTCCCTACTCCCCCAACTCTTATAAACAGGCTTAAATTATGTAATTTAGGATACTCTGCGGTTATATGGACTGGTAGCAATAAAATGGAGCAATATAAAAAATATATAACCTTGTAAAACAAGTAACTTTTACCAAGCTTTCAAGGGTTTTAATGTAAGTTCATAATTGAAGATTATGAAAACAATAGTACACAAAGGATGAGCTGACTGTTATATATCAGCTCATCTAATAGCATCATTACAGAAATAGAAAATCATGGTGACTGTCCAAGTTCCCTTAATTAGTGAGGTTTCAAGAATAAAACACTAATATTCTGGTACTCTGGTTATTTCTTTTTTCCACCACATGTCCCTTTCTCCCAATATTGTATAAAAAATTAAAGCACTAAGTATTGAATTATAAAATATCTATTCCAAATGACAAAATATCTTCAGCACAATCAATATCCTGCAATAAAATGTTAAAGAAATCATGTAAAAACTAAACAGTGCAATAAACTAATTCTCACTATATTTCATAGGGCTATAATCCAAGAATGACTTATTATTAACAACCTGTTCTGATACTGAACAAAGGAAACAACTAGATAATGGAGAGATAATAATGAAAATTTTAATTAGCTGCTCTGTATGAGATTAATGAAAATTACCACTGTGCCCATTTGATCTTTAAAAAATAATGCAAAGTTAGCAATTAGCATATATCATGCCATTCCAAAGCTAGTTTAACAAAAAGCTTTCCTAATTTGAAGCAATTCCTTAATTTGAAAATCATTAGGACAGAGATACTTGTCACTGTGACTGTGCCTATATTACTCTAGGATACTACACAAAAAAACAAAAGATATTTTGGGCCAGTTTAATGTTTACATACCCTTAATTCTGACATGAAATGTTAGTATTAAAATCAATTAAATAATACTCTTAAAAGAACATTTTAGGTTTACATTGGAGATACTACTTCTCATATCACTATTTTTTAAATTTAGTTTTACTTTAATTCTAATTAGAAAACATAGTGTTCTATTACTTTCGCATGCAACATGGTAATTCAACTTTTAAATACAACACCGGGTACTCAACACAAGTGCACTCCTTAATCCCCACGACCTATGTAATCCACCCTCCTTTCACCTCATTTACAACTTCTCTGGTAACCATCCTTTCTTCTCCTTAAATAAAAATTCATTTCTTGATTGGTGTGTGTGTGTGTGTGAGTGTGTATGTGTGTGTGTGTGTGTGCGTGTCTTATTTGTTCCCTAGTACTTGTTTCCATTGTTTCATTAAATTCCACAAGTGAAATTTTATATTTGTCCTTCTTTGATGGATGTCTTTCACTTAGAATAATACTATGTAGTTCCATTCATGTCATTGCAAATGACAAGATTTCATTCTTTTTTTATGGCTGAGTAATTGTTCATTGTATATACCACAACTTTTTTAACCATTCCTCAGGTGATGGACTATTTTTGAAATTTGGCTATTGCTGATAATGATACTCTAAACATAGAGGTGCATGTATACATTTGAGTATTTTTTAACTTTGGGGGTAAATATCTAGTAGTGACATTATTGGATCATAGTGACAATATTGGATCATAGTGACAATATTGGATCATTTCTAACTTTTGGACGAAACTCCATTCTGTTTTCCATAGTGACTATATCAGTTTGCATTACTACCAACAGTATAAAAGGAGTTCCCTCTCTCCCCATCTTCTCAATACCTCCTATTTCTTGTGATGTTTATTTTAGCCAATCATACAGATGTGAAATGATAGCTCATTGTAGTTTTGATTTGCATTTCCCTGATGATAGGTGATGTTGAGGATATTTTCATAGTTCTCTTGGCCATCTATAAGCCTTTTATATAAAAATGTCTATTCAAGTCTTCTAAGATTTTTTTAACTGAATTACTTGATTTTTGGGTATTGAGATTCATAAATTTTTTATAGTTTCAGATACTGACCCTTTGTCAGATACATGATTTGGATCACATCTGGAAGAGATAGTATTTTCTCTCTGGAGACAAAACTGCTGGCAAGCAACAGTGTACTCACCCAACCCTCATGATGGGCACACAGACATGCATGCTAAGTGTGGCTAACTTGGACACAAGCTCACTGCTGCTTTTATTGCAAATTCCATGGCCCTGTGCATTGGAGCTACTTCCCTTTTGAGACAAAACTGCATTAGTTCGAAGACAATGATACTCTCCCAACAGAGAACCAGCATGACTCCCAGCCATACCAGATCCCTAAAATTGTGAGTTCTAAAACTCAGCTGGGAAGCCTGGGATATAGCCTAAGGGGCACTGAACCAGGTGAAAACAGG